GACAGGTATAAATCACCGAAAAGTCCCGCTCTTTTGTTTGCGCCGACTCGAGCCGCGGCGCGAAACTTTCCCCTCGGAGGAAGCAAGGCGCACTTTTAATGACTTGCATCATTCAAAATCGCTCGAGGGGTATGGAGATGCATTTACGATTGCGCGAAACACTGAGAGATTGTTTCTGCTTGCCATTTAAAGCTGATATCGTCTAGTATATCTGTCGCACATTGTCTAATGTCTATGACCAAAGTCTGAAAATACGTAATAGATCGTTTCACTTATTCACTGCAACAAGCATAAATAATGTGATAGTATTCCGTCCATTTTAAGTGTTCTGTAATGTGTCCAGTGATATATTTAAAAACTGTTTATAATTATAACTTAGTGCTCCCTATAAGTTAAGATAAGACATGTGAGATAAGATTTTTCAAGGAGAGATCTCTCTTTCACTGCAGCAAAGTTTGTATTTTTAAAGGGTTTAACAGGATTGTAACTTTTTATGTTGTACATAGTTTGTTTCTCATGAGAAGTGTTGTTATTTTTGTACGAAATAAACGTTAGGATAATCTTTCAGCTTTGTCAAACCAGTGATAAGACGATTGTTGTCATCAGGTTTTCAATAAGAACGAGGCGGAAGTAATGTATAAATAAAGGAGAATGAAATATTAAACGACTCGTCACAAATTAATTTCAATTCTTATTCAACCTCTTTGACGACGACGGCGCGCTTTTCGCTTTTAAAAATCGACGTACACCGGAGCCGACCGTCGAAACACTCCCGCAGCTCCCGACTTCCCGCTGCAGGCCGTGAGCGACCGCAGTCACACCCTTGGGCAGGAATTCCAATAAACTGGATTTTGAACGCCGCCGCAGGAATGCTTCCACGCGCCGCGCAGTCACCGCCCTTTTGAGCTTCTTTAACAGACCTCCCTCCCGCTCGGTCCTCTGTCGTACACGAGCCCGGCCCTGCACACAGCAGCCAGCTACACGCCGAGGGCACGGACTTATTTCCCCCCGCAACCCGTTCTTTTTGCCTCTTTGTACTCGACGTCCTCTGTGTGCCTCTTCGTTCACACTCTTGACCCTTTACAACCCTTTCCCCACCCGGTCGTCGAGATCCCCACCACCCCCTCCTGCTGAATTTTTCTTTTCGCGCTCACTCTCGTCCCTCCCCACCCCTTACACACCCGCCGCCCCCGCGTAACCCGTATCCGTGGTTTTAATAGCCCCACGGAGGACAATAAAAGAAAATTGGCAACTACCCAAATCGACACGTCAGAAAATAGAACGGCACTTGCAGTGGACAGTAGGGGTGGCCAGAGACCGGCCGCCGCCGGGGCTAACCTATGACACAGCAAAACCATTAATAGCGATGCGCTGGAGATAAACGCAAGACTTTCAAGAAAAAAATAAGAAAAGTCAGAAGACAGCGCTACAATCGAGCCTTGGAATCTGCCTACTACTAATGAGGACGTTCTCGGGGTTCACACAAAACCACTACTTTTACAAACAGCTACAACAAAACAATGAAAAAATAAAACATATTCAAAAACATAAATAAAAAATACGTCCGATCAAACCATGACACTATAGAGAAAAAAAATAATTAAAGTACTACCCTTGTGCTCACCCACCCTCTCCCTCATTCAATGCTTTTTCAAGCTTGGCAACGTAAAAGTATAAGGCTGGCATTTTCTTATATTCGCTTATTGCAGCTCCACCCTATTTCAAGCCGATCGAGGCGAGGCAGGATTGATATGGGATATATATACGGCTGGGATCAATCACATAAAAGACGACGGCTGCTCTCACCTGAGACAGTGTCATCTGCACCTCCGCACACCTATCTCACTCCCTCCCTCCGAGGATTTAGATGAGGTGGAGGATGGCGAGAGGGTTGCACTGAAGGTCCTGGAAGGTCGGCTGTCAGGGAACTGTCATCGGAACCCAATGCTTCGAATAAAGGTTGCACGCACCTCGTCGTGAGGGGAGGGGGGGGGGGGCTCTGCCACCATGCTATGCGCACCACCCCCGCCAGTCCCACCCCCTTACCGCGGGATGTTGTAATATAAGCAATCCGTGGATGACAGCCGATTGACAGTCGACTGTTGGCTGTGGGAGGGCAGCCCCTCCCCCCCCCCTCCCTCCTCACGACTATCCCGCCGCACACCCTCACCCTCGCCCACACACCGCCTACTTTTATCCCGTCTTGGACAAACACGCCGCTGTTATGCCTGCCAATGTGGCATATATCGCTGCTTTGTTATCATTCCTGTTTACTTTGGCTTTCGCGAAGGTCGCTTGCACCACAACACGACTGCTCGCGGGGCGGCGGGCCACCGACAGCGGACCTGCCAGCGAGAGAGAGAGAGAGAGAGAGAGAGATGAGAGCGGAATGGGGAAGAGAGGAGGCGCGTTCGAAGGCCGCGAGTACTTTCGCAGTTCGCCACACACGCCCGACTGGTTGTCCTCCTCCCTTGCTGGTCGCCCTCGCGTACGGGGCGAGGTGAGGAGATTGGGAGGTGTGACAACAACGCCAAGGTGTGGCAGCAGCGCCAAGGTGTGCTGTTTGAGAGTGAGGCAGACCAGCGCCAAGGTGTGAAACCAGCAACAAGGTGTGAGACCATCACCAAGGTGTGAGACCAGCACCAAGGTGTGAGACCAGCACCAAGGTGTGAGACCAGCACAAAGGTGTGAGAGCAACGACAGGGGGTGAGGTGTGAGAGCAGCGCCAAGGTGTTTTTACTGGCGCCGTTATCGCGGCGGCTGATCGGGCGCGCTGTCCGGTCGGGTTCCGGTGGTGGTCGGGCCGGGCCGAGGAGTAGGGTAGCGCCGTGAGTTACTGGCTGACCCGCTGCTGCGTCGGCGCGGCGCCATACCCGGTCATTACGGCATTACGGACAGAACAAAGGTATCGCCGGCGGGGGCGTCAGAGAAATGTGACCTTGCCCCCGTCAACCCCACCAGAGCCGAACCGAGCCGGGGGGAGCGACGAGCCGGGGAACGATCGTTCGAGCTCGTCGACGAGCTGGGCTGGGCCGGGCCGATTCCCAGCTCTGCCCCTGATCCCTGATCCCCCGCTCATCCCTAAATGACTCCCACGGCCGTGCGCGCTGCGCTGAGGGTGTCGGCGCGCTCCTCAAGGAGCTCCAGCCAGCTCCCCCTCCGGGTCCCCCTCCTGCATGAGCATCATCCATCAGTCTCGCCCCGATCCGGAACGGTTCCGAGCGGGGCGGCTGGGCGGGGAGGAAAGGGAAGGCTCGGCGGGCAACCCTTACACCCCCCCGGCCCCCCGGGGGAGCGGGCGGCTTGGCCCTGTGCCCTTCGGGATCAGGCCGTTGCGATGGCCGGCTGCGGGCAGGGCAGCCTGCCCCGCCTCTCCCCAGACTCTCCTGTCCCTCAGGCGGAGCTCTTCGCCGCGAGCCGCCCTCCCCCTCCTTCTTACTTTGCTCCCTCCGCCGGCCGCACCGCAGAACGACGCCTGAATAGACTCCAACGTTTGCAAACTACTTTCCCGGCGGCGACGCGTTTCAAGTTTCAGCCGGGAGGGGAAACGCCTCCGTGGGTGGCTGGAGAAGGGGAGGGGGGGG